AAATGAAGGAATAGTACTGATACATTTCTCTCTCAAAATAAATGTAAAGATATTGCAGATTTCACAGTAGAAATTCCTGTATGTCCTATCTGTACTCCATGTCATGTTGCGGAACTGTTCTTCCATTTTACAATGACTTGCAATAAGGTCTGAGCTGAAAGAAGAAATATACCAACTGCTTCTCCTGGAACTAACTTTTATGTTAAAAGCAGTTGCTTCAACTAAATGTAAAATCAATCTTTGGACTTAATTTGAAAGCTCAGAAGTGATGATTTGACACATTTTCATTATCTAAACCTTTATTATCACGATTTTGCCCTTTCTCTCTTGACTATTCCTTTATTTTGCATTCCTGAACATAATTCATCTTGGGATGAATGTGTCTATCACAAACTCATTATTTGCCACATGGATATATCAGATGCTTGCCAGGTCTGGAATGAAACATAATGGACTTTGTGCAGTACTACCAGTTTACCACCCCCCCCCCCATCTCAGATTTGACAACTACGTTATAGAAAGTATAGAAAATAATTAAAAATAACCTTACTGAAGTCAGTCTTAGATGTATAATCCTTCAGCATCAGAAAAAATAATGGCCACATATGAAGGATTGATGTTTCCAGAGGAAAACACCTTCTCCCATCAATTCCAGGCATAATATTTTCCAAATGGGGTAGATGAAAAGGCAGCACAGAGTAGAGTTTCAGTGATGTGGTAGAGAAAATGGTATAGAGTATTGCTGATATCAGGAGCAGGTATTTTGTTGCCCAGCAACTATTGTCTCAGCACACAGTCCAGGAAAAAGGCCTTTTCCATTTCACCTTATCCAGTAAAAGTGCAGAAACAGTGTGGTGGCCATCTTAATTCTGCAGATTCCCATAGCTGAGCTCAAAATATGAATGGCTTTCCGGGTACTCGGAATCCTCATAAATACCTGCCTACTGGTTGTAATTATGCAGTAGTTTAAATATTTGAACTTTGTTTCTATTAACAGAAAGCTGTATGAAATCTCTGTGTAGGTGTACTACATGAAAATAATGCTACATATATGTACATTATCTTTTGTGATTTTATTATCTGGACATGAGATTGTGTGCTTGAGTTATTGGCTCAGTACCTTGTAGTCCTTGCTTTGTGTTTGTTGCACATGATACCAGTCTGGCATAGTATGGTAGATTGAAAGCTAAGCCTATTTGTGAAGGCCTTTTTGTCCTGAAGCAGTCCCTTATGCATTCCAAAAGCCATAAGTATATATTTTGCTTTTGTATGCCTACGTTGAGATTAATGTCTTCTGCAAGTAATGACTGTTAAATTAGTGTTGCAAATTGTATTCGCAATTGTTCAAAATTCCAATAGCTTCCAGGTCTTGCATGCTTTATTACTGTGCAAGTCTTCTGAAGCAGCTTAATTAAACCGTCAGTAGTTCTGCTCATATTTGATGCACTGTGGATGGTTTGATTTTTGTTAATTTTAGTGTGTATGGAAGCAGTATTTGATGATTTCTTACAGACTGTTTTTTCACCTAACTACATCCCCCGGCAACTATGCAGGGGTTCAGATACTGGTAACAATACACTTCTGATATTGGTGAAATAAGATTGAAATTACAAATGGGATGCTTGCATTACCTTGCTGTTTCATTCTTTTGGATGAGAGAACCTTTATGGATACCGTTTGCTTGAAGAGTAGAGTTTACTTTCTATTCTTGAAAGTTATCTGTAACTTGATTGGTCAAGATATCAATTAGAAACACTTTCCTTTCAGGCAAAATTGAAGGGGCGTCCTTATATTTACTTTTATAAAATCAGTGTCTAGTAGATTTACTTTATTTGGAAATAATCACGGTATATACTTTATAAGTCAAGAGCAGGTTTTTGGCCCAGTATGATCTGTGGATGATTTGAGGACCATTCTGCAGAGAGGGGAAGTGCCAGCTTTGTCTCGGGGCTGCCACCACCATTTTCCTACCCAGGCATTTAAAAAACCCAGAAGCAGTACTGAGTAGAGGGAATTAGTATTTTATTTTGGTTTTCCTGAGATGTACTAAGCTGTTGCCGTTTACCATTCAGCTCAGAGATAATACCTTTTTTCTTTGTGTGTGTGTGTGTTTTGTGAAGTGCTTACATTGACCTGTGGATAAGTTGACCAAAGTTTTATGGGTTGATTGTTTGACTAAAATTTCTAGTTATATATTAGTATGTATAGTACTCTTTTGCCTTTGTATTAAGGGATTACGTGAAGCTGGGGTTTCTAAGATTCAGTTCTGCAATGTCAAAAGGTTGTTTATAGGGGTATTAAGCGTGTACATAATAAATCCAGTTGGCTTGTGTGAATCATTATTGACAATCTGTGTGGCTACTTTCATCACATTAAAAGCAATACCATATTGATCATCAATCATAATTTATGGAGGCTTGGCTGTATAACAGTTGCCTGTGTCAATTGTCATGGAAAGTTCTGAATTTCTTTAACCAGGCTTGTATTAAGCTTTTCATTTTTCTAAACTTGCTTGAGTGTGTGTATGTGTGAACACATAATTTTCTGAAAGCCGGAATGGTAAAACGGTTTGAGTGTTGTACTAGAAATTTGTAGACCAGAGTTCAAATTCCCATTTGGCCATGGAAACTCATTAGGTGACCACACTCAATCTCATAGGAATACAAAAGCAGATCCTCTCTGAACTAATTTCGCCAAGAAAACATATTGATAGATTAGGATGAATTGAAGGCACATAACAATTAATTTTTCGGTCTACACATTCCTTGTTATGTTTCCCCCTCAAATTTCTGGAATTATTGTGGTTAGTTAATTTCTAGTTTGTGTCCCAAATCAAATTTCTAGACAGCATATATTTATTTATTAATTTACTTTACTTATATACCGCTGTAAAATATTGGATAATTCAATGATGTAATATTTGATCAGTATTCTATTTATAGATGTACTATTGACATAATTTTGATTTATGCCTGTAGTAAATGTTCTTATTAGAACTATAGGAAAGGTATTCTTGCTATCGGCCCAGTGATGTTTCTAGTTTGGAAAATGCTCGAAACAAGTGAGACAGATTCTTATTCTCATATATATATCTTACTGTGTAACTGTAAGAATCACCTGGACCATAAGGGACTGATTACTCTTCCAGCTTATGAGCATAGGTAACCCCTCCCTAATACAGAAGAAATCATCAGTGTAGGAAAAACAATGTTTTCTAGCCTTCCATAGTTTTAGGTTGACAGAAATCAAGACCAGGATTTTCAGTGTTGTGAGATACTGTACATTGTTATTAGAACTAAGGCGGAGTGAGGAATTAAATATATTTTATTGATTTTTCTAAAAAAAAAAATCATTCCACAATCCGTTAAAAAATCTGGGAAGAAAAGGCTTCAGAAAAGACGGGGAAAATGTTTTCCCTGCATTTCTTTTTGTTTTCATCAAGGCCTCCACATCTCTATTTATAACACACCTCTCAGCCTGGATGGTTTCTTGCTCCAAGTTCAAGTTCATTTATAGTTGACATCATTAATATACAAACTTTCTTCAGAGTCATGTTGTCATTATAATAGTATTAAGATCATTGCAAACAAGGAATGTTTTCTTATTTTAACTAGATGTAGAGCAGCATGCCACAGCTGCTGCTTTGTTATAACTTTTCAAGTCTTATTAATTCTTTAGAAGCAATCTCTTTGGTTGTTGCAGGAAAAGATCAGGGCTCATTGCATCAGTTTAGCTGAGAAACGATCTTTGTTTTGCTTGTTCTTTTCCAGAAATGTTTTCATTTAATATGATTGTTATATTCTTTTATTAACATTGACTTTTGAGTACTGCCACCAGAATTGCTTGATGAGATTTTCTGAATATGCATTTTTCAGTGTTGAGTGATTTTGAAACAGTCTTGTCCAATTATCCTTTATGTTTAAAAGTTAATTAGAATAGTTTGGGATCTCTTAATTTTGTAAATATCAGTAAAGCCTACATAGACGGTTTTATATAGTGTGTAAAACATGACATCCAGTCTTCCATGAGCAGATTTCGTCTAATTCATGGAGGGAAAGGAGCTTTCCTGTAACCTCCTATAAGTCCCTACATATTTAAGGGTGAGCTATTACACAATTTCCTGGAACACATTCACAAAGGGAGAATTGCATCCTCAAATGATGTTCATTTTATGGCAAGCTGATTGCAACATTCTAGGTTAACATGGCAAGCATAAGCTTACCAGTGCCAATATTGTTTCATGTATTATCAGGCGTTTCTCTATAATGGGTTGTAAAGGGCATATCAGTTTGCAGGGTGTTTGAACCTGAATTCTCCTTTTAGTTTCCCTTTTGCTTTATGTTCATTCTTGTAAAATGATATGGGTTGTGAGGAAACTGAAGAACAAGAAATTGTCTATTTTCTCTAATCTGTGATCCCAGTGAGAGTTGGAAATAAATTGGTATTAGATGAATACAAGAATGAATGTGATTCTTTTGCGTTTTCACTGTGCAGCATGTGGAAATATTTTTCCAGCCCATTTTTGAGACATATTAGAATACCGTTCTATGGTTTATTGGGCTAATAAAATACTGAAGATGGATTTGTTTTGTGTGCCCCTATATTTTATATTCTATTTTATTCTTTATGATTTTATTTATAGATTTATGGATATTATAGATTTTTTTTACTATTTCCCTAATGTAATTGGAGACCAAAATCCTTCTCTTGAAAACTCACAATAAGTTTGAGAATCTCTGCATTAGAGAAAGGAGCAATTATATGAACATTTCAAAGGGTATGAGAATGAAAGTGGATTTGTTGCTTTTCTCCTCAGTTCCCTGATTCTAAAATGGAAAGGGCTTCTTGAGACTAGATCTTTTCTATGCCTTATTCATATTTCTGATTTCATTAATTGATAACCACAAGTCTGGTTGGGGTTTACACGGTTTGAGCCAAGAGCTTACTATGTCAATGGAATTTGTGGATATAAATATTAAAATAAGGCCTTGTTTTTACAGGACTCTCTTATCAAAACTTCATAAAATATGGTGGATTATTACGAAGTCCTAGGTGTACACAAACATGCCTCACCAGAAGATATTAAAAAAGCGTAAGTGTTACTCTCAAAAAAGATCATCAACTCTTCAGTAATCCCATAATTCCTCATCAGTGGAAATACTGTGAATCATCTGCAGGGTCATATTGCCAACCCCTGCTTTGAGCACTGTGTTGTAGACTTATTCTGCATATTTCAATGCATTTCATGTTATATTATAAAATATGTATCTTACTCACTTAAAAAGGCAAACATAATACAGATAACCTGGCAAAAGGGATGAAATCATGGTAGACCAGAGCAACTCCACCCTTTTCTCTAACCCTCCCATTTTATCTACTGTTGCATATAAAAGTTTGTTGGATAGAACTTAGAGATACAGGAAGATAAATGGCACAGGGTTAATCCAGCCAAGTCTTGGTAATACATTCCAGGTTGGTATGCTCATCGAGGATCATGTCCTGTGTGGCTGCTTTATCATTGACCAACCTGGTATTCAGTAATAGCAGGTTTGACCTGGGACTTTGTTGCCAAGGCTCTCCACTCTACTTAAAGTGTAGGACAATTTGAGGGTAGCCTGCTGAACTTCTATTTTATATCGTTCTAACAGGTTAGCTAATCAAATCTGATAACACTCACACAAAAAATAAAAATAAAAATCAAGCAAGCCACTATGTAGAATGTGAGTATTTAGGGAAAGGGACACTTATCCCATTCCTAGTTTGATTGTTTACTGCCTGGCCACGTTTATAGTAGCTTACCACCATTGGTTGATGAGCACTCTTTTTAATTGAGTATTAGTTGTTGTTTTATGTCTATATGTTTTATTTAATTGGAATTTAAATTGTTTTCATTTTATGCTGTTTTTAGGCACCTTGTGCAGTATGTGAGCCGTTCTGAGTTCCTTTAGGGAGATTGTGGGGGTACAAGAATAAAGTTATTATTATTAATCTCTCACGTCCCTTAAAGCAGCCATGGGCAAACTTAAGTGCTCTAGGTGTTTTGGACTTCAACTCCCAGAAATCCCAGCCAGCTTACCAGCTGTTAGAAATTATGGGAATTGAAGTTCAAAACACCTGGAGGACTGAAGTTTGCTCATGCCTACCCTAAAGGAACCCTACCCTTTGATGTAATTGCCTTCACTAGAGGCCCTGCAGTCAATGGTATTGGCTCTACAGAAGTTCCGCTTTTATTATTTTGTTCCCAGAGATGTTATAGCTGGGAAGGCTGGCATTTACTAGGCCTCAGCTTGAAAGGAAGCCATTTCAGAGCCGATTAGAAATCTCATGAGAAAGCTAAATCGCAGCAAATACGGCAACAGCTCAATAAAGCAACCTGCATGCCCTATGGAGTTTCCTCTTCCAAAATGTTCTGGTGTTGCTAATTGATCTGTGCTCTAATTCATATAGATAAGTTCTTTGTTGCTTTGTTTTGATTATAAGATTGCGATCAGTACTCAGTCTAACAAAGTTCCCTTGGGGAAATAGGAGTATAAATAAAGTATTATTATCTTTTAAAACATAAGTTCTTGTAGGTTTTTTCGGGCTATAGGGCCATGTTCTAGAGACATTTCTCCTGACGTTTTGCCTGCATCTATGGCAAGCATCCTCAGAGGTAGTGAGGTCTTTTTTGGTTGCTTGATTCAGCTGCCTTTGCCTTTCTTTTAAAAGCTGCTGCAGCTTTGCAAGTCCTAGAACATGACCCTATAGCCCGAAAAAACCTACAAGAACCTAGTGATTCCAGCCATGAAAGCCTTCGACAATACTTTTAAAACATACTTTAAAAAGATTGGGAGCTAATATGGTGTAGTGATTGAAATGTTGAAGTGGGAGGTAAGCTGTCTAGAGGAAAGGAAGCTATACATGCAACTATGGAGTAATAGTCCTGCAAACAGTCCATGTCTCCCTCCCCTGAAAATAAATTCACTAGTTGCAGGCCCCATTGGGGGTTGGGGGCTGAGGGGTAATTCCATTTATATGAGCAGTGTTAGAGTGCTATTTAAGGCAAGTGTTGACTGTATATTTCGTGAACTTTGCTCAGGTGGGTCATTTCTCTCATTCTATCTACAATGCATGTCTTGACTGAAGTAATTGCTAAGGTCAATAACTTTTCAATTTCACTCCAGGTACCGTAAACTAGCTTTAAAGTGGCATCCTGACAAAAATCCTGATAATAAGGATGAAGCAGAGAGGCAATTTAAACAAGTAGCTGAGGCTTATGAAGTTCTGTCAGATGGTGAGTTGTGCAATGTTTAACTGCATATCATCAATTCCTCTTAGGAGTAACTTTGGGAGAGATTCTTTTACAACAGTTAAATACAACTGTCAGAATGTCAGATATTAGGATTCATAGTAGCTGCCAGGGTAAAGCATAAACTAGGGTGCTAGAAATCCTAATCTTAAGCAGCAACCATTTGGAATTACAGTAGAGTCTTGCTCATCCAACATAAACGGGCTGGCAGAATGTTGGATTAGAGAAAATGTTGGATAATAAGGAGGGTTTAAGGAAAAGCCTATTAAACGTCAAATTACGTTATGATTTTGCAAATTAAACACCAAAACATCATGTTTTACAACAAATTGACAGAAAAAGCAGTTCAGTACACAGCAACGTTATGTAGTAATTACTGTATTTACGAATTGAGCACAAAAATATCACAGTGTATTGAAACAGCTGTGGATCTGGGCAGGAGACAGACTACGTTGGATAATACAGAACATTGGATGAGTGAAGTTTGGATAAGCGAGACTCTACTAAGTTGGTTGTGTTTTTTCCCATAGTATACATTGTAGTGCCCTGTTACTATATTGCTGAATTGGGTTTTGTTGTGGTGTATATACTGCATTTGAAATTATCATTGCTCTTCATTTTGGTTTGTACATATACTAGATATTAGAGAAAAGTTTCCTTGTGAAGATTATGCTCTTTTTCTAATATAAAATTTTCCGTTTAATACTTTAATTCTTACTCTAATTTTTAAAAGTTCTGTGTATAACTTTAAATGTTTAGAAGATGTCATATAGTTAATACATTAAATTTTGAAGGAACTTCAATCTGATTGTAAGCTTCATGATTTAAGATTGCCTGAAGATTCACCTGCTTTGTTTTTGAAGATAAATGACTAGCCCTTAAACCAAACTATAGCTGAGCAGCAAGAAGAGGCTGCGCCAAATTAGAGTAGTGTATTAGAAAAAGCAACTTGCACTTCCAGTTTTGTATATCTACTTTATATATTGAAGGCCCAATTACACAGTGCATCTTGAGGCCTTCAGTACGGACAATTAAAGGGGAAACATTAAAACTTTGAAGTCTTCATATTTGTGGCAAATGGGTAAGTGTGCTCAAAGAAGCACACACAGAAAGAGCTGCCTTGCCTCTTTCTTTGCCGTCCATGTACCTTTTGAGGGCAAAAACTCCTATTAAACATATATTAACTATATGACATCTGCTGAATGGACCTTATCAGGTTGGGACCTGAACAGCACTTATTCAATAGTGAGAAACAGCGGCTTATTCTATAACCCTTTCGTAGTGTCAAAATCCAGAGAAATAAACGTAAGATAAATGTCTAAGACAGATATGTCAGAATGCACCTCATGACAAAATGGGTTGTATTTTAACAATTCCTTGTTCTTTGTAGCCAAAAAACGTGACATCTATGACAAATATGGAAAAGAAGGCTTAAATGGAGGAGGAGGTATGTATGCATTTAACACTATTTTCTCCCATTCATATATATAGTTTTGAATTTCAGCTAACTTAAAATATTAGCTAGAATGTTCAATTAGGATTATCTAGGTTCCAAACCATATGCAGTCATGACACTCACTTGGCATGAGATTTTCTTTGCCTAACCTGGTTTAAGAATGTAATAGGAGATAAAATGTGAGAACTGTGCATGTTATTTGGGATCTTTTGATATTTTAATAGCAATAGTTGACTTGTTTAAATATGCCCTATAAAGAGTGTTAGAAAAGCTTAGAATTATTAACATTTTTATGTTTTAACTTTAAATATTCTAATTAACAAGAATTAATCTGCAGTTACTATCCCTGAAAGGTTTTTTTTACACGAAGACATTGCTGAGAGCATATACATGAAAATGTTTGAAATGTTAATGCATTAATATCTTTAAGAACTTGAAATAAAGAAATTGAATTTCTTTTTAGGTGGAAGTCATTTCGACAGTCCATTTGAATATGGTTTTACATTCCGGAACCCAGATGATGTCTTCAGGGAGTTTTTTGGTGGAAGAGACCCATTTTCATTTGATTTCTTTGGTATGTACACAGCGGTTAAATATGGGTGTATAAGATGCTGAATTCTGTTTGGGTAATATAAGGTGCTGCACATTTTGTTTTATTACCTTTAAAGTTCTTCATAAGGTTGTGGTACCACACCATGTGTATCCTTTTGGTTGTTGTCAAAAGGGTATTATATTGCTAAACAGCTTAAAATCTGACTTCCTTTTGTTGGGTATATCTGGATTGGTGTTTGTTTGTTTAAATAGGATGTACAGTAGAGTCTCACTTATCCAACATAAATGGGCTGACAGAACATTGGATAAGCAAAAATGTTGAATAATAAGGAGGTATTAAGGAAACGTCTATTAAACATCAAATTACGTTATGATTACGTTATGATTTTACAAATTAAGCACCAGAACATAATGTTTTACAACAAATCAACAGAAAAAAGCAGTTCAATACACGGTAACGTTATGTAGTAATTACTGTATTTACTAATTACCAAAACAGGCAAGGATTCTTTCTTTCTCTCACCCTGGACTGCGTTGGATAATAGAGAATGTTGGATAAGCGAAGGTTGGATAAGCGAGAGTCTACTGTAGTTTATATAAATAGTACTGTAGTGTGTTTTACAAAGGGTTCAGAAGTGGATTGCTTTTACCTTTTCTCCTTGAAATTAGCTATTACAGTTTGCCTTCAGTTTTCGCCAATCACCCTTCAACCTGAAAGGGATCATGTCAGGCATTATTTGTATCATTGAAAATCTTTCTTTGTGTTGATTGAAAAATAATTTCTTCATTTCATTTTCTGTTCATGTATTCTCTGCAGGCATTTATGATCTCTAAATTCTCAGTTTCTTATCACAAAGTGACAAAAGGCATGTCTGTGTACAAAACTATGTATCATTTAATATTCTGCGATCAACATATTGTTGTCTTATATTGAGATTTGTTTCCTTTGTTGTTCAGAAGAAGTTTCACTTTGCTGCCATTGGTTAATTTTTCATTTGATGTGTCAAAGACTTTCACTTGCAAATGTAATCAAAATTGGTTAAATAGGCTGGCTACTAGGGCTTTTTTAAGCTGGCAAGGAGTTTGTGTTGGCTCACATACCCTCCACCCTTGGTTTCGATTTAAATGCTAAAGTGTGTTGAACAAGTGGAGACAGATTTGAAATATGCAAACATAAATATTCAGATTCCTCATGCATATACATAAAATCTCAAAACATGAGAGATCTCCTTGATAGATGAGGAGCATGGCGTGTGACAAGTATGCATTGCCTTTCCCAGATAAAACTATTTCTATTTTTTCTGATTCAGCTACTATTGTTTTGTCAGTCATGTATAGCTTGAATCCTGACTGGTCATGTTATATTGCATGTTTTAAGCTTGTGCAACTTGAGGATGTGGACCAATTAGTTGGACAATTGAGACCCATGGCTTGCTTTTTCCCTTCCTTCCTGACTCCAGATGTGAACTGACTGAATGGATATTAGAACTTAATGCCATAAGAGCTGGTCAGCAATTGAATTGATTGCCTGAGATGGTGGACTCGGCTTCTTTGGGGATAGTTAAACAGATTGCACTGGTATCATTGGGTGGGGGTGGGGGTCTTTAGTTTTGTACTTTTGCATTGTAGAAAATCGGACTAGATGGCTTTTGAGGTCCCTTCCAACTCCGGGATTCTCCTTCTTTTAAACAGAGGCTACACATCCATCTGCCTAAGTGCTTTGATTATGACTTCCTGCATGGCAGTAGATGGGGCTAGATGGCATCTGAGGTCTCTTCCAACTCTGTGATTCTATCAAAAGTTCTCTTTGATTTGGAGGTACAATGCCAGCTATCTAAGAGATACGGAAAAAATCAAACTTATATCATATATACAAAGTCAATGATCATATGGATAATTTTAGCCTGGTCAGATTTCAAGTGCTCAGAAGATGAGAAAGGATATACTGTGATAGATTCAGAGGGTCCAGAGGAGGATAGAGGTGGCCCAGAAAGAATTGTTTTGGAATTTCCAGTCCAATGAGACTGGAGAAAGCGATATCAGTTTTCATGAGAATCTGCCAGAAGTGGAGGCTGAGAGAAATGTGGGAGACAAATGTTTGTCCAGCAGATCAAGGCACTTGGATCTTTGGATGCAGAGTGTACAACAGAGACAGACTTACTTTTTCCAGTGGCTTAGAGATAAGGAGAGGAAAAGCAGGTATGTGAGGAATGATGTCATGGGAGGGTTTGAGGCCTTTTAAGCTTAACCGCTGTGAGTCGCCTTCGGGCTGAGAACAGCGGTATATAAGTAAAGTAAATAAAATAAAATAAATAAATAAGTGGGTTTCTGCTGGTACAATCCTTGTGAGAGCAGTGTTGAACTGCGCTTGGTTATTGGTCCTAGGTTTGTGTATTCAAGTTTATAAGTTTGTTCTTGGTTCTAGTTTCATGTGTGGCATAGGTCACCTGCCTTGGGTTTATGTGTATGTAGTAGTAATTTTGTAGTAGTAGTAATTTTATCGATTAACCCTTAGGCCATATCACAATATTGTGATATTGTTTATGGATAAATCTGTGAATTGACTCTTGAGACTATATGTGAAAGGATTTTGGAATCTTGGCTATCTTGGAAATAACTTTGATTCTCCTTTTTAGATTTATTTATTTTTATATACTCTTCTCTTAATAAATGTTGACTCACTGGATTATCTGGACAGAGTGTGGTTTGTGGTGAAAAAGTGTTTCAGGGCTATATTGCAACAATGATATACTTTACTAGACTAGGTTCTATCCATGGTCTTTAAATAGCAACATGTACATGAAGCCTCTTGGAGAAGTAATCTTGATGTTTCAGCTACAGTTTAATCAGTCCCACATTTATTAATGATCCTATTAGGAATATAGTAGGTGTTGCCTTGGTTATTCATGTTGAGGTTCTGTCAAGGCTTGGCTACTTTATGGGACTGTGTTTGGAGACAATTCTCAAGCTTCAGTTAAATGCAGAATACAGCAAGCTTGAATGTTTGTTGGGACAAATTCAAATTGACCAGCAATATACCATCTTATTTTGTGCCAAGTGCATTGACTACTTGTTCATTGTTAGACTCAATTCCAATTTAGTTGAAGAGTGTTCAACACACATAGAAACATGTCTCAGCTTTAAAAGCTGCTGATGGTGTAACATTTGTTTTCATAACATTAGTGATCATTACATTTTTTTGGACTCAAAGCTTAGGGTCATTTTAGTTCTAAGCTCTCATTTGAGGAGTTCCTGGCTTTGGTATTTATGGCTTGCCTCTTGTTAATTTTTAGGTGGCCCTTTAAGTCTTTTACTTGAGGTTCCTTTTTACCAAAGGAAACATTAATCTATTATGCTCATGTTTTACTTTGGAGACAAAAATACTTTAAGAAGTGGCTTAATAGCAATAAATAAGAACCATTTCCTTCCCTGTTGCAAGGACTTGCATCTGAGGAAATTTATTTATTTTTTATTTACACATTTATACTTACTTACTTAGGCGATCCCTTGTAGTCCGAGGATGATGGTCCTCCAAGTTCGGTGTCCTGGGGGTGGGTTCGTAGGTGGCTGTGGATCCCTATTCTTAACTTGCATCTTCTCCCACATTTATATCCCGCCCTTCTCACTCCAAAGGGGACTCAGGGCGGCTCATAACAAAGTCACAATTTGATGCCTTGAGTACATATAAAAATAAAACAGCATATACTTTAAAATCACATAATTAAAACATAATGGCCTGCTTCTGTTTGGTTCTGCATTAGGGATACGTGTAGAAAAAACATATTTAAAAGCTGACGTTTACCTGATAAGTAATCTTAATAGGAATTTGTCCTATTATGTGGCTTTCTTTCTTTTTGACATCACAGTTACCAAAAACAGACATTTAAGATAACAGATCTGAAAAACTTGCTACTTTTGAACCTGTTGTTGCTTGCTTTCCTTTTGACATGAAAAATTTGTCTTAAGCCATTAGAGTAATTTGAAGGTATTGCAACTCAACATGACTTGCATGATTAAATACCAACTTTATTTGAAAAAATGACTTTAAATACAATTGACCCTTTTCTTATATACCTACGCAGTGATTATCACTTGGCTGCCAGAGGATTCTAATGAAGGATCAGAAGAAAGGTCTATAGAGGAATTGGAGGAAGAGTATAGTTATGAGTCAGGCGAAATAGCAGAGGAGCTGGAGGAAGTGTTAGAAGATCTATGTGAAGAATATGGTGAAGATTACATTGAGCCCTTTGAAGAATATGATGAAGGATCTATTGAAGTAGAAGAAGTACTAGTGATGGAGGAGGACTCTGAAGGATTAGCAGAAGAATCATTAGAGGAGGACTTGTGTTTAGTTTCAGACGAGTGGGCCGATGAGCCCAGAAGTATAACCCTGGAGGAACTCGAAGAAGATATAAGTTTAGGATCAGAGTTGGAAGAAATCGACTGAAGTTTTTTAATAAATCTATTTTAATTAAACACAAAAGTATCCGTCCCTCTCTGAAGGTGACTCAGGTGTCTTGTGGTGCAAAGAAATTGATCTAGGCTATATATACTACTGTTAATGCAGGTTTTTGCTACAGTCTAATCTGGCTACTTCAGTTGAAGTGTAAAGCTTGCATGATGTGAAATAGGGAAAGCCAGTTCCTGAAATATACTGGAAACGAAGATTGGGCTTTTTCAAATAAGTAGTGGTTTTCCTTGCACACCTTGCAGGTATTTAATCCCAGCTAGCTGTTCCCCAAAATGTGGATTAGGTTAAAAAGTTTGAAGATACAGGTTGCTATCTATGAAGTTGATGTTTTATGTTACTATTCTTAATTCAGATAGCCCAATCAAGCACAAACTGACCTTTTTTGTTCAAAATGTTGCATTGCAAGTATAGTAACAATCACTCAATTGGATAAATCGTCCAGTTCAGGTTCTAGGAATAGGGTGTTTTTTGGTTTTCCAAATGTTGTCTGACTCCATTTTGCATCACCCCTAGCCATTGTTCATGCCAGCTAGGACTGAATCAAATAACTACCAAATCCAATAGACTCCCCAGTTCTCTATAGAGACTTCTTCATATACTTTTGTATGACATCAGCAACTCAAAGTAACTTCAGGTTAACATCTAATGCCTTTAATTGTGCAGAGAGAATGGAAAAATAAACCCTAAATAACCTGAAGACCATGTCTGTGTTCAGTTAGTTATGTTTTGCAAATTTCAATGTATTCAAAAATACTTATAATGTCAGGATTTTCTAATTTGAAGTGCAGTACTATATCCAACAAAACAAAAAACCTACCCCAACAAAAACCTGACGCTGGTAAACCTTTCCAGAGCTCAGTGTTACTGAACGTTCATAGAATGTAATGTGGTTTCCCTATGGGGATATGAAGTCCTGGTCTTTCAAGTTTAGCTTTTTTAAAAATAGGGGTGATCCATAGTTTTCACAATGCTTTCATGATCTTGTAAGTACTTGTTCATTGTGACTTAATGTTTTTAATAATACATTACATTTTTTTAAAAAAAAACAACTATGTATAGATGCAGAATAGTGGGGAGTAATATAATATAGCTCATATGTACACAACTGACCTTCATAGTTTGCTTGTGACTCAGCCTCTTAACTAGCAGTAAGAATTTAGACTGCTACATTAGTGGCTTACCTGACAATATGCCAAGTTAAAGGTGCATGTATTCAAGCATATTTATACAAGAACAATACTTTCGTTGTAAGTTTAATTTATTTTCTGTAGTTGGGGAAAATGTTGAAACACAGATTCTTTTTAAATGAGTGCTCAGGTAATTGCTTTAAAATTATTTTTCATAGTCTTGGGACTATGGGACTTGCAACTCATTTCTTACAGCTGGGCATTACGTGGCCTGCATTCACATTTGATTTATCAATTGAGTTATTGGTCTATATAATTTGGTAGCAGAAAGATGTCTCAAGGGATGCTCCTAACTTTCATCCATCTGTGTGTGATCGTGAAACAGATATGGACTCCTTTTATTTCCTCTCAGAACTGTGAGTTAATTAAAATGAAAGCCAGTGTGATATAGCGAAGCGCTGCAGGCTAGATGTCGAGAGGCCCAGGATCAAATATCCACTCAGCTGTGGTAACCTTGTATAATTGTGAGGGTAAAATTGGGGCAGTGGTATTGAACCATGTATGTCTTCTTGAAGCTCTTAGCAGAAAAGGTGAAATAAAAAGGTAATAAAAACTTTTGATTTCCTTAGATGTTGAAAGCATAGCATGTCAGCAGGCTTCCCTTATTCTCCTGGGCGTGTAAACCTAGAAATAGCTTGGCTACTTCAGTAATTTGCATAGATAGGCTTAAGTTCACATCATCTGTATTTTATCTGTATATGTGGTATATATAGTCTTCATATAATTGCCAAATAAATTGATTAAGAGACTGCTCCAGCTCATTTTTTACATTTATCTCTGTTTTGCTCTATATCAGTGGTTCTCAACCTGGGGTTCCCAGATGTTTTTGGCCTTCAACTCCCATAAATCCTATTAGCTGGTAAACTGGCTGGGATTTCCGGGAGTGTGGGCCAAAAACATCTGGAGACTCCAGGTTGAGAACCACTGCTCTATATAAAGGAATGTTGGATTGTGATTTTTGTGTGGAGTTAGTTGGTCAAAAGCACAGGTTTATTCCTATCAAATGCACATGTCCTACTGTAAAGATTATCTAGTGTTGGCTGTGTACAGTCTATCCAATACAAGACTTCCACTGGGGAAACAGTATGCTCAAATTTGCTATGGAGCCTGGAAAATCTCTGCATGGGCCATTGATTAGGATGGGCTTTAGGACTGCAGGAGCAGGGAGGTTGGGGGGAAGGGAGTTTTCATCATATATAGAACTGTTGTGTTGAATTTAAACCTCAGTAGCACCATTATATCCCTGGAAATGTGTTGCAATGTACTTTGAGGCCTTTGGCCTTCTGCTCAGAATACTGAATCCACATATAGTTAGGATATTCTGGGTATTCCTAATTCTATGTGGATTCAGTATTCTGAGCAGAATCTTCCATCACAGCAATGGAAAGCTATGCATAAATTTGTTTTTCATTCAGCTGTAAACTTCCAGTTGAGACTTACCCAGCAAAAGAAAAAGTTCTGCATCTTCCAATTTTTATTTGACGTGGATATTATAACATGATAGAAAATGGTAATATGCCGTATATCTTTGCTTTGGTTTGCATTCTTTAGAACTTGTTTAATTAAGTCTTTGCGGAAAGAAGTTGTTGACCAGATGGTTTTTATCTTAACTCGAAGTGCTTACACTTTATTATATGGTTGTTTGTAAAACCCACTGTGATAAAGATTTATAAAATTGAAATAGCTAAAATAAACCAATTTCCACAAAAGTAGAATAGCCCCCAGGAAAAAGTAACCGCTCCCCATGCCATTTAATGATTTAGGCCAATTGCATTTCTTTACAACCAAATTCTTAGCACATATGTTTTGGATGACCAGTTTCGGGAAGCATGTGCTGAACATATGCAGCCACATGTGGAATCTCAATTCGTGAACTGGTATAATAAAGTTGTTATACATATTTTTGGTCTTCCTTGAAATTATTGTCCCTATAATACTATAAACATGGGTTTTGATCCAGACCTCCCATGATCAGTGTTTCACTTATAAAATGCTCTGAGGTGAGGCAGCAGTATTTATATACATTCCCTTCAGCCACAAGTGCCACTTCCTTTGTTGTTCTAAAGGGCGTCCTCAAATCTGGAAGAGCATCAAAAACAATTAAGGGTTAAGGGTAACCTTTTCTAGTGGTAGCTTCCACTAGACTGGTTATTATTACCCTTCACAAGGAGTCTTTCTCTTTTTGACTGGTGTGTCTGAATCCATGTTGCTTGAACAAATCGTACCTTCAATAGCACAGTGCTTGGAATTACTTTCTTATTTTCATTATAGTACTTTTAAGCATCATAGGTGCTTTTGAAATTAATGTATTTGAAGAGGTAAACATGTCATACTGGAAAATGCTGGACACTAATTTGATGATTTATGGTTTCTGTTTATATTGTATGCCTCAAGCATTGAGTTGACCTTATACTCCTTTCATATATAATCTTGTAGAATACTATGTACTTTTTGTATCATCCAGTATACTTTGTAAAATGAAACCTACTTAAGTTCTCGTCATCCGCATTCAAATATTCATCTTCATAAAAGCAGTTATAATTGTATTGGCTAATCTGTCTTTTGTTAGCCATAGTAAAATTATTTTAAATGTTTAAATATATTTTTTCTGGACCATATTTTTAATTTCTTTGTTTTAAATGTCTACAGAGAGTAAAATTAATTGTGTTTTTTGCATAATTAACTTACACCAAACTTGAAGTATTCAGAGGAAAACCCACTTTAAAGATGGCTTTCCTTCTATACTTAAGGGGAAAGAGTTTAGCGCCAGATTTTAACTTCTAAAACAAAAATCAATGTTAAATAATTTCCAAAAGCCATGTATTTTGTTAAAATTCATAATGCTAGAAAGTTTTAATTTAATAATAAATGTTATTTATTACCTGGCTTTCCTGGTGGCTCAAGGCATTGAATGTCCTTAAAGCTATATTTTTTTAACTTTATCTTTTTGTGAAAAACAGTGATCTCTTTTTAGAAACATGGTTGAAAGTTTAGAGGCCGGATTATTCTAAGATTGTTATTAGAATACTTATTTTAAAATGAGGGTTAAGCACTAATATTTTTAAAATTGAGAGAATATTTTTAATATTCTATGAATTCTATAAACATATTGTCACTATTACCAAGTTTATACATCCATAAAAAGATACAACTTAATGAACTAACTGCATGCCTGTCTACAGTTGTCTCCTTCTGTTCTGGACTGCAACTTCTGTCAGCACTAACCAACATAGCCCATGCTGAGAGAAAATGAGCATTGTCATGAAGCTTATCTAGAGCCACATTTTCTGGTCTAACAGAAAATTGGTGACTGAAGTTGCAATTCCAATTTTTTTCCCCTGAAAGTGAGATTTACTGAATGCACTTGATCTTAAGTAGACAATCAAATCTTGATATGTCCGCCTGGTAGAGGCCTCATCATTGTTAAAGGGAATTATAACTCAAAACATGTAAAATGCATTACTTGTCTTTTAGTCTTTAAACTTATATGGGGTATACAAATGGACACATGAGATAGCAAATATGAGAATACAAAACCACAGCCATTTTATAAACCTTTACTTGTTTTCACAGAAGATCCATTTGAAGACTTCTTTGGTAATAGACGGGGGCCACGGGGAAATAGAAACAGAGGCGGAGGATCCTTTTTCTCTGCCTTTGGTGGATTTCCTGCCTTTGGCAGTGGCTTTTCTTCATTTGATACAGGTAGGTAAATTTGCACTTGAAATGTAGTATTTTTTCTTGAATAATGCTCAATTGCTTTTAGAATATGTATAAAATAGTTAAGAGTAGAGACATCACACTGACAGCAAAGATCCTCATAGTTAAAGCAATGATATTCCCCATAGTAACCTATGAATGTGAGAGCTGGACCATAAGGAAGGCTGAGCAAAGGAAGATAGATGCTTTCAAAATGTGGTGTTGGAGGAAAATTCTGAGAGTGCCTTGGACCACAAGAAGATCAAGCCAGTCCATCCTCCAGGAAATAATGCCCGACTGCTCACTGGAGGGAAGGATATTAGAGGCAAAGATAACGTACTTTGGCCGCAAAATGAGAAGACAGGAAAGCTTGGAGAAGAGGATGATGCTGGGGAAAAAGGAAGGAAAAAGGAAGAGGGGCCAACCAAGGGCAAGATGGATGGATGTTCTCCTTGAAGTGACTGGCTTGACCTTGAAGGAGCTGGGGGTGGCCACCGCTGACAGGGAGCACTGGTGTGGGCTGGTCCATGAGGTCACAAAGAGTTGGAAGCGACTGAATGAATAAACAACAGCAACAAAACTTGTAGAGTGACGATCAAACTATGCAGATGTACGAACACAGAGATCTTTGAGTAACCTAGAATACATGAGTTAGGGCTAAGATTATAGAGATAAGTAGCTAAGACTGAGGCCAGAAAACTACTTAATGGTATCTACTTTTTCAAAACGCTCACAGCATAAGCTAAATCTATTTTACGTAAGCTGCCACCTGTGGCATATCCCCTCTGTATTTCTTCACATGTTATGCTGGAAAAAATTAAGGATTCACACCTCATCTTAAGAAGGTTGTCGAAAATTGAGGAGAATAATGGTTGGGCTTGGTAGGATTGATTCATATTTCGACTTGCCCAAAATTAATTTTATAAACTGTGAGTGTTGTTTGTAAATATGCATCTAGTGGTGATCTGATCTGTATCATGTATCTTATTCTAAAAAAAAGAAAGCCTATGGAAAAAACTTCATTCCTAATTCCTTCTGAATAAATAAAGTGCTTTATGCCTCAAATCCAGGAGCTATAATTACTTCTCTTCCCTTACAGGTTTTACTTCTTTCGGTTCTTTGGGACATGGGGGTCTTACTTCATTCTCCTCCACGTCATTTGGTGGCAGTGGGATGGGTAACTTCAAATCAGTATCGACTTCAACCAAAATGGTTAACGGCAGAAAAATTACTACAAAGAGGTATAGTGATTTAAAATGTTTATTTTGTTATCCACCTATTTTGTCTGCTTAATTCATGTGTATATTGGAAGTATGAGTTCCTTCTCTCACTGTTGGATACTGAAGAAAATTAGGAAGCTAGAGCACTGCTTATTCAAAGCATGATTGAAAAGATAAGAATAAATGATCAGCTTTGGTTTTCTGGTTTTTGTTACCAAGTGTGATTCACCTCCCTAGTTCTGGGAATTAGGTTTGAATTTTCTGGATATTTTATGATAAATGTGCCTAAATTCAACATTATGGATTCTAAATGTAGTAATTATGGACAATTTTGTATCTGATAGAAGTTGGGATTAGGATTTCTTTTAAATTTTGCTGGACTAGTAATTTTCAAAACTGTTTTAATTGTTCCAAGCTTCTATAGGAAGCCAGGCTTTCAAGTTTAGTTCCTTCTGCTTGGAACTAGTTGGTTATAAATCACTTTATAGAGAGAAGATCTATATGCAACTTGATAGCTATTCAGAAAACTTCCAAAATCACAATTAAAATGGATTTTTATCCTACAGAATCGTTGAGAATGGACAAGAGAGAGTAGAAGTTGAAGAAGATGGTCTGCTAAAGTCTTTAACAATAAATGGTAAGGAGCAGCCGCTACGCTTGGATAACAAGTAATTCAACGCACGCATTTAAAAGAGATTTTAAGCTATAACAAGCACCCTTTGAGGATTAAGAGGAACATTTTTTGAAGATTCCAAACGAACTCTTTCATTATACTATACGTAATCTAAAGTATTTATAAACAGCTCATTGGAGCTCATATGTCAGACTTTTGCGTTTAATTGCTGGGACCACATGAACAGGACCATTTTTTGTCCTTAAAATTGTTGTAAATTTCTGTATGCACTTTGCTTTTTATTAAACATGATTTTAGTTTACCTTGCATTAGTGCTAGGGCCAAATTGTACTTGATAATTAGCATGAAACTTGCTTTTGCGTTTTTTCCCCCTTTCTTTTTTTTGTTTTGCCATGTGAGCCAACTAGTCATTTTACACCTACTGTGAATTTAACATTTCTGAGGCAAATTTAATTTCAAGCTTTCAGTATTTAGTAGTGAATAATGTTAGTATGTTACTTATGGTGCATTTTTGGTTTAAATAATTCAAGGATGTTTTCTAGTTGTGCATGAATGCTGACAATTTAATGTGTAATGTTTAAGCCTAAGCTAACACAAGTTAAATCTGGTGAGCTTGGGTATCTTGTCATTTTTGCTAAAACGTTAAAAATGAATAAATGCTGATATTTGTGGTGCATTCTTTCATGGGTAACATTTGTAGCCTTTTTCTGTGCCTTTGAAACTTTGATAACCATACCATGCTTTCATTGCCCATTTTCTTAGCAAATATTTGCCCTTATAAGCATTTGTTGCTACTAATATGTTAGCAGCGACATTCTCAACTAGCAAGAAATAACTCCTGTGGACTGGATAAGAAGAATAATTATAGCATGGCAGTACTCTGAATTAATTTTTGTGAATTGACAGAAATGTTTCTGCATCACACTTTCAGGGCAATTTCCAACGAGTTTAGTTTCAAATGACTGGGGCCAATGGACACAAAAAAAGACATTAAAGTGGCAAATGACTCATTTACAAAACAACAGGGCTCTTTTGGTTCAATTACTGTTGTCTTAGCTGTCTCTTCATGCAGCTGCATTATTAAATACATAAACATCTTAATCCAAAACTCTTAAACAGCATACATAAATAAAAACATTACTTTGTACACAAAAGTAAAAAAGTAAATGTTTCCCCTTCACATTAAGTCTACTCATGTCCAGCTCTGGGGTGGTGGTGCTCATCTCCATTTCTAAGCCCAAGAGCCGGCATTGTCCGTAAACGCCTCCAAAGTCATGTGGCTGGCATGACTTCATGGAGTGCTTGTTACCTTTCTGTCGAAACTGTACCTATTGATCTACTCACATTTGTTTTGAATTGCTAGGCTTGCAGAAGCTGGGGCTAACAGCGGGAGCTCATTTTGCTCCCCGGATTTGAACCACCAACCTTTTGGTCAGCAAGTTCAGCGGCTCAGCAGTTTAACCTGCTGCTTCAAAATTGTACACAGATGTATATAATATATAACACACAAATAATACACTTTCTTCAGGGGATCCAAGAAACAGATATCAGGTTGGATTAAATAAGGAAGGCTTGCTGAAATAAGTAAGATTTTAACTTAAGTGGAAAATACATTTTTTCACTGCAGGTTCTGAGGCTTGTCTGTAATGGGTCACAATGGGAATGGGGAAGGAAAAGGAAACAGCTCATTAAGCACCACTGCTTATAAGCCTTTAAGATTGTTGTTATTACTAAGGCCTAATATTGCTCAAATTTTAAGATGACCTTACTGCTAATCATTTGAGTGCAGATAAGCATTATGGAATTAGTTATTCACTGAAGATTTCAATGTGACTTACAAAGCCTATATAATTTGGGAAAGAGAAAAAAACCCATGCCTTGATTTGAAGCTAGAGATAACCAAAACCGTTTCAGATGTCTGAAATACTTGAACTTTGAAACAAACTTCTATAGTTGTTCATGGATCAAATCAATGAATGCAGAATAAAAGATAAAATGAATTTGATTAGTGAGCTATTACAAGCTATATTACATATTTGAGTCTGTGCTGTTCAGTACAGCAAAATAATAATAAAAAACATAATGGTTCAGGCAATTGCCACAAAGAAAGAAATAGCACTTTGCACTTTACATTGATACTTTTAAATGAAACATAAATCAGCAGCCCTATGTGCCTTTTCATTTCAATCATCAAGTACCTCCAAATTGCAAAAGGAGAGCATTGGCATATAAACAGGTTATTTCCATATCAAATGAACTATTTCCAACGCTAGTTCTTCCTCATATGCAATTAAAATCCCGTACTCTTACCAGTCACCAGATTTAACGAGAGTCAGAAGAGTAGCTCACCAGCTTTTAAACTTTATTTCATCACTGAATAGACTACTGGGAAATATGTCACAAAACATTGTTGAGCTTGGGTGTTTTCCTTGGAGTGCTCTATGCAAGTAAACTCAGGGTGGTGTATACACTGTGGTTAAAAAACATATCAGAACTGTGTGCAAAAATTTTTGGCAAATTCTACATCCTGATTTACTTAATCTTATTGTACATATTTCCTTGCTTTGAATCCCCCTTCTAAAACCTATTGATGTGATCACTGCCTCATACAATTTATTGGCCATTGAACTGAATTCTGTGCCAGGTTTACCCATTTCCACAGTGTGAATGCACACAGCTCTGGTATACAATTTGGCTGGCAAATCTGTCTTGATCCAAATGTATTGCATCCTGCTTGTAGGTGTCCAGTAATTTGGATCTCAAATCTAACAGTGCAGGCTAACCTTTCCACTAAGATTAACAAAACTGTACATTATATTACTTGTCCACAGTCAGAGTATTTAGTTTACTCTGACTAAATTCAGCCAGTCTCTGGTTATTATATGCAAGAATAAAATATACTCCTGGGGGAGTGGGGGGAAGAAGACTAACTGGTTCATACATTCACCGTTTCTGCACATTGAATGTATGTGTTGCTTAAGCACTGCTTGCCTGCTGTTTGCATGTACACTAACTAGTGCAATTATCTCCAGTGTGTGTGGAGTTGACACAATCAAAGTGTCTGGATATGATATGTACAGTGTCGGAAGTGTGCAATGAAAGCAACTGACTGCTTATATTACATATTTTGCTGCATGATAAATAACAAGCTGGGTCAGAATGTTGGACTGCTCTATCGTTACTTGGACCTAGAGCAGCAATTCTCAAGATGAAACATTGTCCCCTGCGTCAACCATTTTAACTGTGTCCGCTGGCCACGATACAGAATGTGCACAAAGCATGTGGGTTGTCTTCCACCCGTTTTTCTAAACAAATCAATGAAATGTGACTTATTTTTGAGGTCAGAGAAACCAGAAAATGGGTCACAATTTCTCTTCCATAAAATAACTCTGTACCAAGGTGTGAATGCAGCCCATGCATGCTGCCCCTTGGGCTCATTGTTCTGGCCTTCATCTCTCTTGGCCCTCCTCTCACCCTCCAGAGAGCTCTTGGCAGCCACATGTCTCCCTGTCCTTACAGTTGGGTGATGTGTCAGGCTGCTGTGTCCCTAGGCTGAGAGTTGAGCTGCAGCAGTCACACACACAGCTGCCCAGGGCTTTCCCAAGAGCCTTGGACTACTGCATGTGAAACCCTGATCTTGGCAGGAGGACACGTTTTGCCGCTGCATCCTCCTACTGAGAGGAGGGCCGGGGCAGCCATGAGTAAAATCCTCCTCTTGGTAGGAGGGCATGGCAGGCCGCCATGCTCCTGCCAAGAGGAGGGCCCTAGAGTCACATGCAACTGTGCAGGGCTCCCCCAAGAACTCCATGTAGCAGTGTGTGAAACACTGCCCCCCCCCCCCCCCCCCCCCCGTGTCAACCACTCCCCGGCTTTCCCTCCCACTCCAACTACTCCCCCCTCCCAATTGCCCTTGCCCCCCCCTTCTGGTCTGGCCCACCCAGTCTGGCATGTGACCCCCATCCAAGGGCTTGGTGAAGCCCTTATCAGTTATTGCAACTCTTGCTGCAACTGATCTCTTGTATCTGCCTTCCTGCATCATCTTTCATGTTTTGATTGCAGTGAAAATCTCAGATGATTTTGTTTGACAAGCCATGAGCAAAGATTTATGAACTGAAAATAGACATAACTACATTGTCAACTGAGAGTGAACAATCACTGCATGCCACAACATTGTAGTTCAAATATGGGAAATAATGGCTCACACATGATCTTAGATTGCAAGATCACCACTGTGGTGGTTAAGGCACATGGAAATTGCCATCTTGCAACGTTACCATTACCCTAAACATAACTAGGGAAGTTAAATGTGGCTAGTCTTAGTACTTGAATGATACACCACTAGGGTATTGAAGTGATCACCAGATAGAATCTCCTAGGATAATTTTCTGGATGAAACCATGTAGCTAACAATACTGGACAGGTGAAGCAAGAGTTTGATTCAGTGCAAAGTAGCTTCCTATGTTTTTCCTGTTCCTAACACCTGTTATAGTAACCATTGAATCTTGAGATGAGTGACCAATTTGTGGGCTTTCCCTTATTGCTAGCTATGTCAGAATTTCCCAAATTCGGTCAGCTGTAGTCAACACGGCTGAAAGGTAAGGGAAGACGGACTTTTATGCCAATACCCGGAAGGCTAGTTTCCTATTCCTGCCAGAGGAGTTTCTGTTCAGGCTCCAGAAATCCTAGAACAAGAGCCTTGTAATGATGTTCAGCCTGAAGGAGGGGAATGATAGTTTCAGTGCTAGAGAAGCAAGAAAGAACTCCTCTTTTTCCCATTGCCTTGAGCCTTCTTCTCTTGTACTGTGTAGCAATCGAAAGTTTTCAAACCTTGCATTAAGTAGCTACACATAAGTAGGGAAAGGATAGGCTTGCTGTTCTGGAGATCTGGGAAAGGGAAAATTGGTCTTTCTTTCTACATGTCAGCATCATTTATAGTATAGGGGTGCATCACACAAACCTAATTTGCTCTCCCCATTCTGGTATACTCATCGTAAATGTCAGAG